CCCTCCAGCCGGCCCCTCCTCCCCAGCCACCTGCTGTTTCTGCCCTGGAGAGCCCGGTGGGCGGTAGGAGGGAGGAGCCGCTGACCTTACTCCTTCACCCCAAAGAGCGAGGGACCCCGTATGCGCCCCGAAGTCCCCCAGGTTACCCCGTCCCATCTTCCTCTGATTTTTCTCTGCCCTTCACCTCCTCCTCTCTGTCCTTCAGATCCTTCCTGTCTTCCTCCCTCTCTGACTTCCCATCTCTTTCTTCCTGGGCCCACCGGCTGGGCCTGGTGGGGGCGGGTGAGAAGGGGTCCGAGGTAGTCAGGGAGGAAAGTGGGGGAGGCTCTCCTAACCAATTCTTTCCACCTCCCTCTGGCTGGCCATTGCCATGGCAACTGGTGTACTGGGCTCCAGAGAGGAGACAAAGGTTGGGGTGGACTAGGACCTCTTGAGGAGGGCAAAGGTCTGAGGTTCTTCCACAGGAAATAGACCCTCCCACTGCTGTGCCCCATTTTCCTCCCATTTACCCCAAAGCCATTATGCCCACCCTTCCTGCCTCCACTATGTTTAGGCTTGCACCTGATTTCCTCTTAACCCCCCTCCCCAGGGCTTACTGAAGCTCAGGGCTCAGCGTCATGAAATTTAGAACTATCCTCCCTTCCACCAGAAGGAAACTGAGGTTGGGGCAGGGGAGGAAAGACTCAGGGTCTGCTGGTGGGAATCGGCACCTTATCACTGAGCCATTCTCCTTGCTGCCACTCTCCCTCCCTCCAAACCTCCTCCCTCCAAAGCCTCCTCTCCAAGGGTCTCTGAGCTTTTCCTTCTATTTTCAGATACTATCACTTTACCCCCTTTCTTTCTCTTCTGCTAAAACTCTCCTCCTTCCCTCTAGTTCCCCCTCTTTCCTTTTCTGGATGCTTCTGATGTCAGTGGTTTCGCCGCCTTCGGGTTCCCTAGTCCCCACTCTGTCCCAGCCTCTTTTCTCCCATCTTCCCAGATTCCTGGTGAGCTGGAGGGTGATCATGCAGACGTGGGGAGATGGGGCTGAGCACCAGGACCATGGGCCCAGGAGCTTGGAAGGTTGGGGAGGGGCTGTAATAACATATCCCAGTTTACCGTGAACCCTTAGGAAGGAACAAGTCGTGCATCTGCCATCAGTAGCTCTGAAGAGAGATTCTGGGGCATGAAGATAGTGGTAGAGTAATACTGAGCAGGGTATATGAGAAGGAGCCCGAGAGTGCCAGAGTGAGGAAAAAGGGCTGAAAAGGGATGGGAGACAAGAGGTTAGAATGTCTTCTTTTCTGGAGGTCTGGAAACAGGGCTCTTATCTGTGTGGGGTGTTTGAGCAGCCATCTGATTTAAGGCAGGAGAGTGTTCTGAATGACCCCATGACCCCTAGTAATCAGTAATTTCTACAGTTTCAAGAGAAGGGGAGCACAAGAAGCCAGTTGGAGACCAGCCTAGACCCTACCTTCGCTTTCCCCCTTCCACATCTCATCTCTCTCTTGCAGTTTGTGCAGGTGACTGAGCCTCACCCCCATACCCCTTGGGGCATCCAGAAGATCCTTGACTGGTCAAGAACCAGAGGAAGAAGAGAACTGCAAGTTCTAGCATGGGGGCCAGAGCTCCCCAGCCAGCCTCATAGTTGGCCAAGCAGCCAGCTTGCCTCTCCAGTCAACTACAGGGATACTTCAGGAAGGGTCCCACTCAGTATGGAGGCTGAGGACCACCTCTGCTGAGCCCCAGTCTCCTCCCCTGCCCTCCA